TACATCAGGATCTTTCTGGGTAGAAGCACTAAAAATTGCAACTGAAATCTCAATACAGTTCCAAGTAAAGCAATTTTAAGGGGTTACAAAATTTTTAAAGATCCCACTATTAGGTCAATTTTCGAAACGGGAAATTTTCGATTCCTTGAGGATGTAGAGTTTGCAGGGGGAGATAAGGTTGTAAAGTTAATGATTTTGTCTTGAATGAAGAATATGTATATATTTCTTCTATTACAATTGACAATGATGAGGTTCAGTGAGATTACATTACAAAATCCCACATACACAATCAAGAGATTGTTCCAAAAAAACAAACTCAACAACCTCAAGAACAAATGTCATTAAGTAAATCCACTATAAAAGAAGAAAGATAATTTTGGATAACTTTATAGTCTTTCTCCAAGAAAATAAGGATGTCATGGATTGACGAAAGAAGAACTTATCAATCAACTTTCATCAAGTCATGCAAAGGAATAATTCTAAAGAGTGGATTAATGCCATGCATAAGATATTTTTCTCCGATTTCTATGAAAACTCTTTTAGGACAATTATGGCATCTGTGACATATTTTGATCTTAAGTTACATTAAATGGTTTGCAAATTAAAGAAATCCATCTATGGGCTTAAGCTGGTTTCTTGAAATGGTATCACAATTTTATCAAATAATTATCTCATTTGATTTTGAAATGAATTCAGTTGATGATTGTGGATATCACAAGTTCAGCGGAAGTAAGCAAATCTTGGTGATACCTCTTTTGTATTAAATATATAGTTACACTCTTGGTGTATTTTTTTGGATTATCACAAAAGAGATGTATCGATATGGTTCTTAAAAGATTTGAAATGCAGTTATGGAATTCAGGTGATACCCCTATTTCTAAGGGAGACAAGTTTGGTCTCGATTAATGCCCTATGGATAAATTTAAAGAAAAAGAAATGCATGAANTGGATCCACTTACTAAGGAATTGCTACCCAATGTCTTTCATGAGTACACTGCTCGTATATGTGTTGTATTTCATGAGGATATCATATTTTAGTGGGAGTTTGTATTGCTTTATGTTTTGGACACGTTTGTGTATTTAGATATTTTTTCTGTACAGAAATAAAGTATTCAGTTCATTTCACTCTGTTGTTATATTCAGTATTGATCTCACTTAAGAAATAAGGTTGGACCAATTGGAAATAGACATGTTTGAATCACATAACATGTAATTTCCATGTTGTACTCCCATGATTGATCTGTTTCATTTGGTTGTATGGATGTACGTGACCATTGATGGATTTGGTCACGCTAAATGGGACGAAACTCGCTTTGATCCTATATCAATATAATTGATGAACTAGATTGTTAGGAAATACTCTTAATAATGATAACAAAATTTTGAGCTCATAAAATAGTGCACATTTGTAAGATTACATGTATGGCCCAGTGGGAGATTGTTGGATAATTTCAACAATATTTAGGGCCACACGTTGTATATTAAAATGTGTGATTCTATCATTTAAAGGATATTAGTAAATTAAAGTGATCCGTTAAAGATGTATGTGACCAATGAGTATTATATTTCATGAAATTATAGTGTAGAGATCAGAGTGTTGTTTTACATTGATGAAGGGCCAATTTGAAGCAACTGAAAGTTAGTGCCTATTCGATTACTACTATTATTTTATATGGTTATGATCCCCAATTGTTGGTGTTCTTGAGTTTCTATACATCCTCATCAATAGAGCGCAAGATTGNAAATTGAAGCGAATATCACCAATCAATTGGAAGATCGTAACTCATTCAGGTTAAGAATCAGAAATCTATGTATCAATGTATGTTTATACTTCCGCTATTTTCATTCTCATTGATTTCAACATGGATGGTTATATGTGAGAATTAAGGTTTTGATTATTATTTTGATCGATAATCTTATTATATTATTCTAACAGTCGATTTATCTAGAATGGCGGTGGAGAAATAAATTGTATGCAATATTCCAACTTCTTCCTTGGCGGCCATTATTTTCAAATTCCAGCAGCTTCCAATAGATTCCATCTTCTTCCCTTAGCTGCCATTCTGGACACTTCTAGAATTTGTTGAAAAGAGATGAAGAGTCCTCATAAATCTGGAATCTTTTTTTTTTTCGGTCGTTGGTGATTCCTCAGATTTTGCAGTTATGATCAACTAATTGTTTAATTGTTAGGACGACGTCGTGGCTTTGGTTATTAATGTTAATTTAATTCAATTTCATGTCCTATTTTATGATGGATTAATAGCTTATTGTGTACTTAATTAAATTCAATTGCTTAATCATCCGTTGATAAATTTGAGAAAAATATGCAAACTCAGATGTGATGTATTTGTCTAGCATGCAATAAGTGACATAGTATTGCTAAGAGATCAAAAAAATACTCTTATATAAGTTATGCAATCTTGATTGAATTCTAAACAATTAATGTATTTATATGTGTATGGTTTTACATAGAGATATAGTACATTTGGATATATATGTAAATAGGGTAAATTTTACTCGAGAGATCGCTAGTTGAAATTGAATAGTTCAATTGTTATTCACTCGTGTCTGAATGACATTAAGTGAATGTTAATTGACCTAATTGTGCTTTTGATTGTCAATATTTTCCATGAAAAATGTGTTTTTTCCACTTAATTTTTTGACATTTGTACCGTTTGATTTACAATTTTTTCACGAAAAATATTTTTCTACTTTTGGTCACGTAACCATATTTTCTTTGAAAACAAGGAAAATATTTTCTTTGGGGAGATATGATTTTTATTTTCCAGGTAATTCACTCTCTCTTTCTCTCTCATCTATCCCCCCTCTCTCAACTACCTACTAATATAAAAAGATAAGTATAATATTTTCTAAGTTGAAAACTAAATGAATCAAACACATTTAATTAATAAATTTCATACAAATAATTTCTAGGCAATTGAATTGTCTAAAATTTATTTTCTTTCTATGCAAATTCCATAGTTGCAACCAAACGCACCCTAAATAAAATCGAAAATCCCCATTACATAATTCCATAAATTCTTCCAAAAAGTCCTGAGGCATGAATTGTGTTAGATAGAGTTGGTATAATTTTAGTTTTAATTCCAATCTTTAAACAATGATTTGATTAACATATTAATTTAATTTGAAGTTAGGTTTATGATAAAAATTGAGTGTACGTAGTAGTCTACGAGGGAATGATATTTGGACTTCAATCTACTTTATTATTTGTCTGATACCTTACACTTGCGATTAAGTGAACAATCGACTAAACAAATTGCACTTTCTTCTAACTACTCCGAATGTGGTGTATGTTTTGATCACTGTACAACTCCAAGAAACAAACTAGAAAAGATTTGGACTAAAGCTAACCCTGCATATACAGGCACCAAAGTTTTAACACTAAACAAATTTAAAGATTGTCTTAATTTTTTAAATCTTGATAGTGGTTAATTTCTTTTGCAGGTACATGAGCTTATGATCCTCAGTGGAGTGACTCTTAGCACCGGTTAGATGGAGATGATGATCAGTCGCATCGTGGAGATTGTTTTCTAATAATAATAATAATAATTTTATTTTTATTTTTTAGTTTTTTGGTATATTTTGTTAAAAAAAATGATAAAATATATATTTGAAAAGCTGATAAAAATTGTGAATATTGAAGAAACAAATATCGCTCCTCTCTACACCAAAGGTATCCAGTTAAGAATTTCCATCATCATTGAACTAGAACCACCATTCTACATGTTCGTCTGAGCTTTAAAGTTAATCACTAGTCTAAAAAATATAAAATTTTCTCAGAGAAATAGCAACTTTGAAACACGTGTTTAGCTTAAAAGGTATGTTTAACTTACATTCAAACAGAAATACAAGCGTGTAAAATCCCTCTTCTTCTTCTTCTTCTTCATCTGCTTCTTTAGTAATGTTGCAATATTCCTTGCTAAGTTCGAGTATCCATGGAGGAAAGAATGAAATCCACCATCCCGGCAGCAAATCTGAAGAGCTGATGCCTCAAAGAAACTGCCCATAACCCTATAATTGCCAACCCTATTGCTGCAATCAATCTCATTTCTTTTCTTTATCTTCTTCACTCTTTATTTTGTTATGCGCCACCTTGAAAAGAGACCTCTTTGTAGCTGCACTAACCACCACTCAATTATTAACTCACTAGTCACACTCTTAGGCTTTTCACGCATAATTGAAGCCCTTTAAGTCGGCTACTTAATTGTCGTTACACTTTAAATTTGCATTTTACTTTTTCAAAACTCCATTATTTATTTGTAGCTCATGATAGGCATCAGTACCAACCAATATAAAGAATCTTATCTTTTTTTTTTTTTTTTTTACAAATATAAAATAAATTTATTTATTAAGAGCACGTTTTAAACGGAACCCACAACACAATATATTAGATATTTTTTAGTTTCACCTAATTTTGAGGAAAGAATGAAACAAAGTTGGATCTCTGAACCACGTTTATGTTATTAACGTTGTTTTTTTGGATAAGTGGTTTGAGAACAAACAAAAATGACTGTCCTGACAGAAGATAAGCAGCGCCATAGCTTATACAACGCCTCTTGCAACAGTCTCAAGGTACTATTTTTAAATTTGATTATTCCCTAATTACGGGGAAAGTTTCACAAGTTAACTACTCGACAGCACCTCATTCGTCTATTTTTTTTTTTCATCTTTCTATGATGATTCGCCATTCGTTATTTGTGAAACAATTCTGTAAAATAAATATGTACGTGTAGCATAATTCTTTTAAATTTTTGAGCAAAAGGGTAAAAAGGGGGTATTACGGGAGCGAAGACGACGACATAGGTTAATGTCATTTTAAATAATGTAAAATTAGAAAATAATAAATAAAAAAAATTAAAACAGAACAATTTTTTTTTTTTATCTAAGCCGTAACAAGACAACTATTTCAAACAAATACACCTTACATCCTCAAATATGACTTAGAACGAAATTCTTCTGTCATAATCTAAATTGCTCTGTCAAATGTATGCCTGTTCCTCGATCGTTATTGAATATTGAAACAGGGGCCCGGAAAAACATTCGTACAAAGGAGCCATGCTGAACGAGCACAAAGCAAGCCAACCTCCGCCTGCATTTGCCAAGTTCTTACAAACTGAGAGCCAACACAAATTGATTAGGACAAAATTCACTTGGGGTGATCGCGCAGTAAAATAGCTTTTACAAAAAAAATTAAAAAAAGAAAAATCGACCCCAATCAAGAACCCATACTTCCTTTCAAGTCACTTCAGTCAAAATTGATAATTAGAGGAAGGAAAAATAAACACATGCTGTCTCAAGAAAGCTCCAAACGATGCAATGCAACTCCATTTCTGGCAGCAGCATTTCGTTCCCACCTTCCTAATCGGGGCTCCTGTCCAAAAAAACCCTTCAATATTAGATCAAAATACAGCAAGTGGAAATATTAACGATTGACAAATTGAGCATCTACATTACAAATTGAGAAAAGCAAGAAAGCAGCTATTTCAAAGGTAAGGCTTTTCATGTTGGAAATTCAGTTCGGAGAAAATAATTTACAACGCCAGAACTACACGTGCTATAACTCAATCAGCATCCTTTAAGGTGTCATCAGCATAATGCTATTCCCTGCAACCCCCCCTCCCCCTTTCACGTTCTTGAAGGACCATTTGGAGAAGAGAGGGGGTTGCCAATACTGACATATAAGATCCAAAAAATCCCGTTCTGTGGTCAATTCGTTTAAAAAAAAATGAATAAAATTTGAAAAGGTAACCAAACGGATATCAATCTTTCATATATCAAGCCATTTCAAAGACAGTGGAATTCATATAGAAAAATTCTGTAAGTGTGGCCCTTTACGTGTAGCAGCTTTCATTCATATATGTTTTATCTATGTATGAATCTAAGCAATAAAGTTCTCACTCTAACCCAAGCTATTATTTTATTAAATCAAATAACTGTGTTGATCTAATTAAACTAATTTCTCAGCACTCCAACTACTTTCATGCCCAATTGGAACACAAACCAAATAACCTCCTCGTCAAACCTAGTTGGCACTGCAATTGCAAGTGCATCAGACTCCTCTGATCAAGTGTCCATGGTCCTACTTAGTCTAGATGGAAGGTAAAGAGTCCTTTCTTGCCCATCTCTAGGAACCATTTCAAAGGCTCAATATGAGGATTTATTTTTGCAGAGGTTTAAATCATCTCAACAATGTTAGATGATGCTTCTTTAATGATAGCATGAGATACTGTTTACCTTATACAAACATCTAATAAAAACCAGAAATAGCACGCAAGAAATATAGTATCAATTAATTTATTTAATAAGCGCACCATATATAAGCAAATATTTTCTACATTCTACTAGTAAAGATTCAGATTAGGTAACAGGTAAAATTTTGAAATTTGAAAGGGGAGGAAAATTTCACCTGCCCAACACCAGCAATAAGGAACCTTCCAGATTTCGCAAAAGATAAAGAGTTCACAAATCCAACCTACATAAAATTCCAATTCACATGAGAAATAGAAACCAATCTTGGCAAATATAGGAACTAAATTCCACAACTACCTGCCAAATCTAATTATGAAAAGTTGCTCTTTTTGACATATTTAGGTTTTACAAGACAACGTGAAAATTTGATGTCCTTCAGCACATTTTTCATTTCATTTAGGCGCAGTCACCAGTCAAATCGCATCTTTTGTATTAAAATTATTATATTTGAAGTCATCTAGGCCACCTAAAAAGTAAAAGCCCTTCTGGATTCACGAAAAAGTTTCTCTCCTGCAATAGGCTACTTTCAACATACTGGATTTAAAGAACCTAACTAAAGACTTGACAGTGAAGAAAATTAAAAATGACAACAAAGTAGAAATGACTTATGTTATAATGATCATTGATCACATTGAAGTCATCCGGGAGAAACAATTTATCCTTACCAGGGGGAGCTCAAACAGAGGACAAATGCCTTTGGATTCATTCTCAATCGTCCAAAGACGTATAGAACCATTTCCAGCTCCGGAAGCAGCAACATCGCTGCTTCTACATACAGCCACTGAACTGACCCAGGAAAGAGCAGTAGAACAAGGTTTTTCAGAATCTTGGGCATTATTTTCTGCAAACAAATAAGCATCAAAAACTATGCTTAAGCAAATTTGCCAAGTGACCCATGTCTACAGATAAAGAAGAAACTCCAGTTGTCTACAGACAAGAAGCTGGAAGAACAAATACCTATGTGGCCATTTGATAAGCCATTATGTCTTTGTTCAAAATTGATCTGGGTCAACGAAGCATGTGCATTTCTTACAATATGGACAGGCTTCTTACGTAATATGTTCCAATGTTCAATACTTCCATCATCAGAACCCGATAAGAATTCATCATTGCTAATAAAGCAGCAGCATTCCAGGGATGATGCAGGAGCTCGAAATACTAGTTGAGATTCTTCTGGTACCTATGTGTAATATAAAGATTATAGTATAAACAAATTAAAATTTCACCTATCTTAAGAGAGTCAGAGACATCATAGGCCATAACTTCTTTTATTTACTTGTTTTTCACAAACATTCACGACTCTTTTGTTTTTTTTTTTTTTTTTAAAAAGGAAAAAAAAGGAAACGAATTGTCATGTAGGAAGATAATATAGGCGAGCATATAACAAAAATTATCAAGACATTAGCTTGATACTTTTTAAATTCAGAAGGGCTGTAAACTCGAGATAAATCACATGAATCCTTCTTGGACGTTCCTTTAGACTACCTTTTCTAAAAGGTCGAGATACATCCTATATTTTTAACCATGGACCACCTTAGCCATGTCAATAAATTAAAATTTCCTTATTTATTCTTCTGCATCACTCTTATGAACAACAACTTCTTTAGGTCTAACAACCAAAAGCAAGATATGCTACAAAATTTTATTGGGTTTGGTTAATACAAAAAACCAGTAATATAAAGCATAGTTGGTCTGAAAGGCATTCTAAAGAATTTCCCCTTTGAATGGTAGCATTGTTTATATCACATACAATAAATACATGGTTTCAAAACCTCATTGCATAATATCCATCAACCACAACATACTCATTTCCAATTCCTTCTTGCTTATAAATAATCAAGCCTAGATATCTAGAATATTTGTTTTCAGAATATGAACACACCATGATTTTAAAGAGCATTTCATCCCTTCCACTTCAATTGTACTTGACTTTAAAACTCCTACAATCCTCAAGAGTTCTGAGTTGTGAATTACCCCTTCCTAATATAATAAACTAAAATTGGATCTTTATCAAATAACAAACACTAAGAAACGTTTGTTTGGATACGTCTAACAAGCTCATCTATAAATTAAGTAAAATTGAAAGAATTTCACAGGAATCTTGATATGAGCCTATTCTAACAGGAAATTTCCCAGTATTACCTCGTTAGATCTCATATTCGAAACCAGTCCCTCATAAATATCCTTAATGCTAGTAGTGTATCTAATAGAAATCTCTATCTACAGCATGCCAAAGCATCTCCATAAAGATCTTATAAAATGCTTTTTTTCCTTTTTTTTAATTAAAGAATGTATAGAAGGCTTACTTCCTTTTTGTAGGTATAATACCTGTAGAAGGTCTCCACAACACAAAACTAAACTAATTTTCCAAGACCAATGAGTTACATTTCAAATTATACTCAACAACCACCCCCTAGTGAACTGAATATCTCTGTAGTTTGTCCAACCTTGAATATTACCTTTATTATCTTTAAAAAGAACCACACACTCCTCTTCCCTTCATAAGAATCTTTTCACAATTCAAAACCTCATTGCATAATATCCATCAACCACAACATACTCATCTTTGCCTAGACACTTCCTAGTTTAATTGGCCTTGTGTCTATTAGCTGTTTTTCTTATAATACTCCTTTTCAGAGTATACTTACTTTCAAATAGTACTTCACTATTTCAACGTTAAATCACTGGGAAGAAGGGAAACTGATAATAAAACTCATCGACTCCTCTATAGTTTTGTATTGTAGTCTTATTACGTTTCATTGATTTCTAGCTCTACTGTAGATTCACCCCCCACAAGTGTACAGAGTGTGACGCAATTTGCACTACATTATCTTCCTTTTTAACAATTCTAAATCAACACAGATGAAGAAAATGGAAGCATGGGACAGAAGTGCAAATCAAACAACAAGAATGGCTATCAAGAATAGAACATTCCTGACAAATGTGGTTGCAAACCCCTTCGGGAGAAGGTTGTGAATTACCTTCCACAGATGCATGGTCCGGTCACGTCCAACAGTCAATACACGTTCTTTTCTCAAGCTGTCAATTGTTAACACTTCACTCTGGTGACCAAACAACGTATTTATGTAAGTTCTATCTTCTGCATTCCAGATTTTGATAGATCGATCAAATGAACCAGAAAAAAGTTCTGAAGTTCCTTGCCTAAATGTTAAGCATGACACAGGTCCTTTATGCCCTGGAAACGCCTGCAAGTAATGCGAAAGGTGAGTTAAAACAGCATTACCAAAATATAAAGTACTTGCTTCCCCTAAAGATTGACATTCAGAGCTATAAAGAAAATATACATATTACATGCATCGTGTAGGAATACATGATTGGTTAAACCATTAATATTCAAGAATCGGTGAACACTTTCATGTCATTCTTAATTTGATAGTAGTATGCCACTTAGTAGCTAATGCAGCAACTAGAAGAAGTAATTTCCACGTAAAGGGCTGGGATTTTCCAATGCACCAGAATTATCTCTAGTTACTAATAGTTTGGTAGAGGCACCTGAATATGCTGCCGAGTACGGATATCCCACAGATGTACATGACGATCTAGGCCACCACTTGCCAAATATCGACCATCGGAACTAACAGCCAATGCTAGAACATGCTTACTGTGCTTTGTAGCTCGACCTTGGGGGTCCTTAGCACCATGAGATTTCAGCACTTCATCACTAGGCCACACATACTTTTCAGTCTTCCCACTATTGACATCCCAATGAAAAATGGTACCATCCTTGGAAGCTGAAAATCCTCTGGTATCATCCTCCGATAGAGCTACAGCAGTAACTGGATGCCGGTGTTTTACTAAAAACTGAAATCCTTCCATTGTTTCTGGATTTTGAACCCTAAAGATTACGATACATTTCAATATCAATAGGTGGATGTGTCATTAAATGAGATGCACGCTAAATTTACAAAAACCGCCATGCACATGTTTTTTGTGAGCATGCAAATAGGTCAGAGTGAGCACAAAAGGAAGCATCACACAAGCTTAAGAGCATCAAAGTCAACAGCTCCAGACAAAACAAATACAAATGCAAATCAAATTTATCAATTCATCGAGATGAACCACAGAATATGTGACTTTACAGAATTCAAGCAGAGTTGCTCCCTCTGTAACAATAACCCTGGTGTTGGAAACCAAACTTCTAGACCTTACCATGTACTATCCTAGAAAGAACCATCATTACCCCATAAATGCATCACCTGTCACAGAAAACCTCATTAACCAAGCAAAACAATTTATCACAAACCAAACATCCAATGATAAATTACTCAAAAACATTCAACTACTAATGCAACTAGGAAATTTCACTGCAACAGTTCATATAATACCAGCACAAGCATGTTCGTCCACCCCACCCGCACTGTCCAACGCACAAAAAATGGCAAAGTAAGAGCGAATAGGTTCATATTCGGTGAAAGAAAGGTCGTAACAACCCATATCGAGCATATATTAACAAAAGATAGCATTGAACTCTTTTCTGAAGCTCCCAACCTCACACCAAAGAAAAGAAAAGAAGAAACAAGATACAGAAAGCCAAAGAAATGTATCCCTCGAATCAGAGCAAAGGAATACATTACTAAAACTCATACTTTCTACTACTCGTAATTAATGTCCTAAGCATTCTAGCATCAGACTCTGTAATACCAAAAGCTTGAAAGCTCGTGCATTTACGTCAACTAAACCAAACTTGTATACAAGAAGGATAAAAGTTACAATCCACAGGCACGCGCACCTGGAAGCGATGGCTCTGCGCATCCGGCCGCTCTCCTCAAGCTGCTCCTGCTGCAAAATTTTGGCAATAAGTGAATCTCTCTCTCCCTCTCTTTCTCTCCTCGCTCCTTCATCCTCTAATTCCTCATCCTCTTCTTCTCTCTTCTCCCTCGCCCTCATCCTGTCCAAGAATGCCTCAGCTAATCGCTTCTTTTTCTCTGCAGGCGTTTCCTCTATAATCTCTTCTTCATTGTCCTCCTCCCCTGCCACTGCTTCTTTTTCCCCTTCGGAATCAAATTCCTCCCCTTCATCATCGCTGCTATTGATGTCTTCGTCATGGAATTTATTCTTCCGTTTTGAATCGCTGTTGTGGAAAAATGGGTCATGGCTAATGGAGGAGAACCGCTTCTTATTGTTGTCCTTGTTTTGCTGAGAAGCAGGTTTCCTCTTTCTCATGTTTTTGCCAGCCATATTGAGTTAATTCAGAGCTTAAATTGCAATTGTACTAACAAAGAAAAGAAGAAGAAAATTTAGGTTTTCCGTTTAGGGGTTTTATGTTTAGGGTTTTTGATTCTCTGCTCAAGCTCTACAGCCTACAGGCAAGGAAGGTAGTAAGAAATGGCTGGAGCTAAATTACAAGGGTTTTGGGCCGTAAGTTAGGATTGCGACTAATAATTAATTGGGCCTAAAATTTAAATGGACTCTCTGGCCCAAATGTTAAATAATCGTAAGTGGAAATTACACAAACAGAAATTTAAGTATTTAATTTCAAATTTCAGATATACATTTTATGTATACAAAAATCAGACATTATTTCATCTCTATTTAAATTATAATTACCCAAACCCTAAAAATTTAATCATTTGTCATATCTTCTCTCTCTCTATCCTCTCATCTCTCTGCTCCTCACCGTTCTCGCTTCTCTCTCTCTTCTTTCCCTCTACCATCGTCATCGAAGGAGAGAACTGGATCCGATAAATATGCGATCCAGTCAAGCTTCCTCCAGCTCCCATGGTGGTAGTGGCGATCTGTGAAGCTCCCATGGTGGCGGAGGTGCTGGTATGTTGTTGCGTTGTAGGGCTTTGTTGGTGGTGGTGCGGTGCATCTATATAAGGTGGGCTATGTTGATGGCGATGTGGTATGAGGTGGTGTGAGATGGTGGTGTGTGTTGGGGTGCAAGGTGGTAGCGGCGACGTAGATGTGTATGGGCTGAATTCGATGGATACGGTTGAGGTCAGGAAGTACCTTTGTTGCAACGATCGCTGAGCTATCTGCGGGAAAATCGTTGGAGCTTTTGGGGTAGTTGGCGGTGGTTTGATATTGTGACGATGTTTGTAGTTGGTGGTGGTGCTGGCGATCGCGGTGGTGGTGGTGGTGGTTGTCCTCTATTCTCTCTCTTCTCTATTGTCTTTTCTATTCCCACTCATGGCAGTGGGTGGTGGGTTTGGTGTTTGTGTTGGCAGTAGCGGTGGCGTGGTAGTGGGTTTGGTGTTTGTGTTGACGTGGCTTGGCGGTGAATGTGCCTGTGGCGATGGAGACGTTCATATATGGTTGTTGTGACTGATTAATTGGTGGTGGCGACTATGATGGAGAATGGTGGTGGTGGTGGCGGTTGTGGTGGTTGCCGCGGTGGTGGTGTTGACGGTAATGGATTTGAGGAGACGACGGTGGTGGAGGTACATGCGGCATTGGTAGTTGTGCTACTGTTGGTGGTGGTGGGTGGGTAGTGGTGGTCGTGGTGATGTCAGTATTTTTAGATGATTGTTTGTTGCCGTGAGGTGGTGGTGGTTCCGACGATAGGGGTTCGGTTGTCATGCTGTTGGTGACAATGGTGAGGTGATGGTCATAAGTTTTGGTGGTGGTCACAGATTATTTGGTCGTTTGTGACCATTAAATTTATTAATTACTGATAAACAATATGTGATCAATGAAAAATATAAATTGTGACCAAAAAATAATGTGTGACCTAAAAAATTGTTAATTTGTGATCGATAATTTGACAATTTGTGACTGTTTACTAAATTGTGATTTATAATATTTGTGATTTGTGATCGATAAATAAGTTGTGACGTATAAATTTTTTTATTTGTGACCGATAAACAAATTGTGACTTATAAAATTTATGAATTGTGACCGTAAAATAATTTGTAACATATAAAATTTCAAATTCGTGACCGTAAATTAATTTGTGACTTATAAAATTTTTGATTTGTAACCAATGAACAATTGTGATGGTAAAATAATTTGTGACCAATTATACAGAATTTGTGATCAAATTATATAGAATTGTGATCTTAATATATTTAATTAATTTATTTATAAATAAAATTAAAAAACTCTGAAATTTGAAATTTTAAACTTAATTTCTTAAATTTGAAATTTGTAAAACTAAACCTCTTATTTATGAATTCTTCCCATCGAAAATACCCCCATTAATTTTTGGGAAGAGTTCACAAATCGGGCATTAAGTTCCACAATTGCAAAAATTAAGTATTAAGTTTAAAAAATGCAAAGCTCATGTATTTAGTTAATTAATTAAAAATAATTATTATTTAAATATAATAAATTCACAATTATACAATTAATAGTCATGTGTACATAATTATAAGTCACTACTCACAACTTATTTATTGGTCACATATATTAAATTAATTGGTCACAAATTATTTCAAAATCACAAATCAAAAATTTTATATGTCACAATTTATTTCATTGGTCACAGATCAAAAAAATTATAGGTCACAGTTTATCTATCGGTCACATATTTTCAAATTTGTTGCTCACAAATTATTTTTTAGTTACAAATTATCGAATTTTAAGATCACAGTTTAATGGTTACTCACAATAAATTAAATAGTTGGTCACATACACTTACAAAAAGTCAAATAGTTGGTCACATACACCAAACACCTCACCCCCGATCCCTATTCACCACCAATATTTGGTCACAAATTAATCAAATTATTGGTCACAAACGTTATCCTACCACCATCCCCACCAACAACACAACACCACCATCGCCACCACAACCGCCACCAACATAGAAACGCACCACCACCGCTGGAAACAACGCCATGACTATCACGCACATTGCTGTCGCCTCCACCTATAAACGCCTGCTCCAACAGTGCACACCACCACCACCTGCAACTTCAATCAACCACCGCATGCTAAAATTGGAGATTTCTTCCAACACTACCACACCCACAGAAACAACCCAACCACCGAATCGGAGTACCTAATCTACAATTCTGGACCTAATCTGCAATTATGCCACAAGGGATCAAACTTCACCTTCTCTATAAAGGATGGACTTGCACTACAAATTTTGCCAAAGAAAGAAATCAGAAAAGAGGAAAAGAAGAGGACGGTGCACGGTAACGGTGTGGCAGCACCTTCTGCAACCACGATTTGGGCGCGGCAACGTCACCTTTGAGTGCTGCCGTTTCACGTAAAACTCGATGACAGATCTCGGTGCTGCCGTCGATTCCATGTGGCAGCGGTACTCTCAGGCTTTGCTGCTGTGTGGGAAGCACGACGACGGCGATCCCAAGAAGGCGCATCGCGATATCGACTTCTCCATTGATTCTGGTGATGGATGGAGAGTGAGAAGAATGAAATAAAATTAGGGTTTGTAATTGAATTGGGTGAAAATAATGAAATAAAATTAGGGTTTGTAATTCAATTGAGTGAAAGCGTTTAATATATAATTATTATGTAATACCCGATTTTTTATTAAATAAAGTTTAGATTTGATTTTTGAATTTGTAAACTTAAATGCCTGGTTTTTTGTAATTTCTTCTTAATTTTCCTAATTTTTACTTCGAGGACGGATGAATAAAAATATCAACAATGTGTATTATAAAAATTTTAAAATTTTCAATAATTCTATTGATAATGAAATAAAATTAGGGTTTGTAATTCAATTGAGTGAAAGCGTTTAATATATAATTATTATGTAATACCCGATGTTTTATTAAATAAAGTTTAGATCTAATTTTTGAATTTGTAAACTTAAATGCCTGGTTTTATGTAATTTCTTCTTAATTTTCCTAATTTTTACTTCGAGGATGGATGAATAAAAATATCAACAATGTGTATGATAAAAAAATTAAAATTTTCAATAATTCTATTGAAACATATGCACTTTTTGATCAACCATTCTCGTAAATTTACAAATATTTGCGAATAAAATAGTGTACATATCACTAATGTTCTGTGACTATAATTCAACCTTTCAATTTTGAATTATTAAGTTTAATTTTGATTTTATTAGCCTGCAATCTTTGGCTATGCCTTAATTGATTGTTGCAGCAATGTTACTAGACGTGAACTTTAAAATTAAGAAAAAATAAAAATAAGTAGATTATATACTTTCACACAAACATGGAATTCTGTCTAACTAGCTACATAATTTAGTAATTGTAGGACGTAATTATTAAATTATAATTTATGTTGAAAGCTTCATTGGCCAATACCTTCGCCTTTTAACTTACATCTAATAAAATAAATAAATTATATCATAATTCATATATAGCCTCGTTTGGTACCGATTAATAAGGATAAATTCTTGAAGAGAAGGATGACCTCGTGAAGATCAATAATAAGCGCCAAAGATTATGTTCAGAAAAACAAGAAAGAAGAAGAGAAAGCCATAGCTGCATTCAAAGGGTCCTCGGAGCTTGAGGATCGCATACACATTCCCTAGATCTATTTGATGAGTTTAAGAAGTCTGAAGAGTTTAGGAAGGAGATTATTGGCTTCTTTGTAGAAAACTACAGAAATACATTAAGGACTGGCAAGAAAAGAAACGTGGAGTAAATTGAAATGCTCTTTGCTGATATTGATGGTGAAATTCTATGAGCTTCTGACAAAAATTACTCTTCTTTGATTAGTGCACTATCAATAGGTAAGAACAGGTGCGAATCTGCTCACTATTTCCCTCCTGCCATCGGACACTAAATGCTGTGGCCCTGTTCTTACCTATTGATAGTGCACTAATCCAATCTATTCCATTGAGCATGGGGCAGCAACATGACCATCTCATCTGGCATTTTGATCCCAGTGGTAAGTATTACGGTCTGTAGTGGATACTATCTCATACTTAATTCTCATGTGCTTGATAAGGAACCTAGTGGAAATTAGTTTACTCAGTGGCGGAAAGTGATCTGGAAACTCCAGATTCCCCCGAAAGTTAAGATGTTTATCTGGAGAGTTTTTCACCATGACTTTCCCACAAAGTCCAATCTGTTAGCTTGGCATCTGAATGTGGTATTTTGGCTGTTTCCAGGGTGGCTTTCATGAGATGAATTCTCATGCTTTATTCTCCTGTTCTTGAGTGAAGACTGTTTGGAAAGAATCCTGGTAGTGGGAGAATATGAAGTCCTTGGTCAGTGATAATATGACTGCTACATTAGTGGAGATTTTCTTCAGCTCATCCAAGTCATATTTTGAGGAAATTAGTATATTGCTATGGGTTATATGGACTGAGAGAAACGTGGTGGTTCATGGCGGGCAGGCAGGAACCTCGAGGCTCTATTTGAATTTGCTTTGTCCTTCCACAATTCTTTCCTGCAGAGCTGGAAAATTAGTGTTCATACAAGGGAGATATAGCAGCCGGTTGTAGTGTGGAGAGGTAGTGGAATCCAGCATCGTGCCTTACGACTTAATTCTATTGCATCTGTGCATTTGGATGCTGAGTTTGTTGGTATAGGTGGGATGCCGCAGAATGCAGGGGGCTACGTGGTCGTGGCTTATGCTTGCAGGCATACTGTTGGCAAAACACGTCCAAATTATACTAAAACGAGAGTACCAACTTCTTAACCCTTACTTTTCCTTGTGAAGTTGCATTAATGGCTGAACATCACTAGTTTAAGAGATTTACAATACCTTGTAGCTAGAGCCAGAAATGTAAGATATAATTTATGATAATCAATTCGCTTAACATCATGTTGGTAGTCCTCGACTAAGATATCAGTCGACGAATAACCTGAAATAGAAAGTGATGTCTTTAGTTTAGCTCTAACAAGTAAAAAAAAGAATAATATAGTGCATATTTGATTCAAGAGACGCGTGCAAGATCAAGGTCATGTATTAATCAAGACTACTTCAAAGGACGTGGTTCTTAAATTAGTTTTTTTATGCTCCGAGGCCTGTAAATCGCATAAAAAACTATAGTACATCATTTTTTAAAGGTACCATTTTCAGTCACGAACATGGGATTGTTTTGCTATCTCTTCTTAGTGTAACTGACAATCTCTTCCATGCATCTTGGAACAACAAAAGATACAGACATCTGTGTCTGCAAGAAACATTAACAAGATGTTAAGAAAACTAAAAATTAATTCGTAAATTTTTTAACAGGATTTTTTTTTAAATTCATACTGGTTTTCCGATAGGAACACCAACTCACTCGCTCGGTATTAGTGTACACAAATCCCCAAATTGCTCAATCACTACCTTGGATACAGCAAAAATCATTGCAAATGCATCTGGAATATATGCAAACCTTAGCATAAAGGATGGTCAATGGTTTAGCCCAATAAAGTCGATACTGTCTTTTAGTAGCACCATTTCCTTTGGGGAAAACCTTGGCAATTCACTTCCATGATAACGAAGCATTTCTGGAGGGTAATCTCTAACGACTGGATCCAAAATCCTCTAAACAAGATTAGGTGGATGTAACCAGTGTTCAAAATGGCCCGGCGCCGCCAAACGCGAGGCATGACATGGGGCCAGAGCGCTAAATAAGCGGTCAACAATTGTGTTGACCGGCGCTCCTAGGCCTGCATTATGACATATATATTGTTTTTTCTTTTTCTTTTACATTTCTTAAAAGGTTGATTTTGTATCGGTGGACACAGAGGACGAATTAGATGAAGATGATGTTGAAATAAAGAGTCAGATAACATTTAAGCTCTTGTGTTATCTACGTTATGTAATTATAATTTTAGATCTTTTAAAAAATGTACGAAGTTCCTATAAATCTATGTTAGATGTTTGGTAGATATTATTTTAATTATTAAATGATGATTAGATTGATTAAAAATTTAAAATAGTATTAAAATATGAAAATGTATTTTTACGCTTAGGTTTCGCCTTGTCTGAAACTTGACCTCCACGCATTACGCCTTTCACAATATTGGAAATAATAGAAAGAGCTTTTGAAGCTTACCAAGCAATATTAAAAGCCAACTCCCTATTTGCTACTTCGCGGTCGGACTTATCATCCGTTAATGGTCTATACATTACTGCGTACAAAACAATGCCTACCGCACTTCCCTGTTTATGCTGCATCAGTATAAGTTTCTTAGTGCAATTTTAAATTTCTCCTAAGGCAAATAATCTACAGTTTAGCAGCTTTGGCTTGTAACATGTTGTGTACTGCAATCAAGGGTTCAATATCTAAATTGCCACGTGGATATATGCCAAACGGCAGTGAACAACGAGCAGGTGGTGAATTCCTATCTCAAACCCCATATTTCCAAATAAGTTTGGCTCGTTACGATCAGCAACACGTCTCAGCAAAATGGACAAAGTCTTCCTTACAAAACCACATGTATGCCTTGTATTCGAAATCGCCCCAAAACTAAGCCATATTTGCAATGAATTCAAGGTCGGCCTTAGCAGTTCAAAGAAGAAAAAGTAACTTGTACGTAATGCATTAAAGAACTGAGCCAGCCCCCATACCTGTCCTCAAGTTCTTGAGTGTAGTCGAAGTGGTGAATTATCACAAATGGCTCTATTCCTGCATCAAGTCTTAAATCCTACAACCGGAACAGACTATTTGAACAGGTTAAAGCACGGAATAAGATAATTATTTATGATCATACCTCTGAGTAGGAGATTATCGATAATTTTGTTATAGAGCAAAATTCCTGATTGGTTAACTCTAGCGATCTTTCTGTTGAAAATATTTTTTCAATAGTGTAGGATTATTTTTCTTAGTAGTTGATTGTATAATTATTATGCANAACTCTAGCGATCTTTCTGTTGAAAATATTTTTCCAATAGTGTAGGATTATTATTTCTTAATAATTGATTGTATAATATTATGCAATCTTTCATTTTAGAGTTATTTATAACCCTATAGATAGGGTCTTTTACTTTGTAATAAAAACAAGTTTATTATATACAAATTATAATATTCTTCACATGGTATCAGAGCAGTTTCGATCATAAACAAATTAACCAATGTTGTTTTTTTTTTTAATTGGCCTGTTGGAGTAATTGGACTAGTTATTTAATTGGTTTGATTTTACTGTGGAATATATGGATTTTTTTGTTCGAAGTTGAGCATTTTCTCCTCTTAAGCTTGTTTGGAGTTTCTTCAGCTTTTGGTAATTTGGAATTTGGTTCGATTTATTTGGAATTTGGTTTAGTACATGTCCAGTTCATCTGAAATTTGGTACAGTTCATTTGAAATTTGGTTTAGTATATGTACAGTTCATCTGGAATTTGATTTGCTGTTGGTTCGGTGTATCCGAAATTTGAAATTTGTATCCAGTTTATTTGGTATTTTTCGTGCTGGAATTTGAAATTTGAAATTTGCGTCCAGTTCATTTGATATTTGTCGAATTGGAATTTGAAACTTGCATCCAATTAATTTGGATATGAAATTTGCATCATTTTGGTTTAGTAGTGGATGCGTTGATAAGATTGACTATCATTTGATTTCTCCTTCAAGTCTTGGTGATGGTTTGGTTAGATTAGTGGATGATGATTTTTCATTATCATCAATTTTGATTTATTTGTTCGGCTTGGTTGACATACAAGCAATTTTGAAGATTTGATTGGATCGATTTATCTTTCAAACTCAATTTGATTGTCGTTACACCATATTGAGTTTGAGGGAGGGAGTCGAAGATATGAAAAAAAATAATCTTTGTGATATTTTTCCAATAGTGTTTGATTATTTTCCTTAATAGTTGATTATATAATTATTATGCAATATTTCCTTTTAGAGTTATTTATAGTCATATAAATAGGGTCTTTTACTTTGTAATAAAAACAAGTTTATTAGATACAAATTATAATATTCTTCACACTTTCCTTCTGCAAAATCAAAATTCATAAATAACGATAAAATGAAGTGTTAGAATTGGGTTGTGGCTCGAATTTCCGTTGAGTATTTGATTGGAAATATTGTTGGAGGAGTATTGAGAGTTGATAGTAGACTTGAAAATGTTTTGAAGGAGTCCAAAGTGAATTTGACTCACATTTCATCCCAAATTCTCAATTATTGGTTCTACCCATTGTATTGGGACATGGACTTCACCTTATATTAAACATTTCATGTATTAGTTCTCCTAGTATGCTGAGATTCTTTGGTTATAAATATATGGTGTACAGCATATATTGTAATTGACCAATTGTTCAATTAGTTATTGGTTTTGTAACTCCTTACTATTGATTATAGTAAATTCTACGCTTTTGCCCGTGGTTTTCCCAGATTTGGATTTCCACATAAATCTTGTTTTCTTTATTATCTATTATTTTCATATTACTCATATTATTTTTGTCTTTATTATTTGGCCAGATTCTTAACAAGTGCTATCAGAGGTTATCTTGTCTAGTTCTTCCCAAGTTGTATGTTATGTTTGTGACTCAAATTCCATGTGGTTCAGAAGTTTGGTTCATGGGGAGAATCTAGATAATTTTGGTTTGGAAATCTGAATTAATAAACGATCAAATTTTATTATGGATTGAGAGTTTGATTGGAGAAATGACTTTGGAATTCATGAAAAAGTGTTTTGGAAGAGTATTGAGAATTGATAGTAGACCTGAAAATATTTTGAAGGAGTCCAAAGTGAATTTGACTCACATTTCATTCCAAATTCTCCATTGTTGGTTCTACCCATTGTATTGGGACATGGACTTCACCTTATATTAAACATTTCATGTATTAGTTCTCCTAGTATGCTGAAATTCTTTGGTTATAAATATGTGGTGTAGAGCATATATTGTAATTGACCAATTGTTCAATTAGTTATTGGTTTTGTAACTCCTTACTATTGATTATAGTAAATTCTACGCTTTTGCCGATGGTTTTCCCAGATTTGGATTTCCACATAAATCTTGTTTTCTTTATTATCTATTATTTTCATATTACTCATATTATTTTCGTCTTTATTATTTGGCCCGATTCTTAACAAGTGCTATAAGAGGTTATCTTGTCTATTTCTTCCCAAGTGGTATGTTATATTTGTGACTCAAATTTCATGTGGTTTGGAAGTTTGGTTCATGGGGAGAATCTAGATAATTTTGGTTTGGAAATCTGAATTGATAAACGATCAAATTTTATTATGGATTGAGAGTTTGATTGGAAAAATGACTTTGAAATTCATGAAAAAGTGTTTTGGAAGAGTATTGAGAATTGATAGTAGACTTGAAAATATTTTGAAGGAGTCCTAAGTGAATTTGACTCACATTTCATCCCAAATTCTCCATTATTGGTTTTACCCATTGTATTGAGACATGGACTTCACCTTATATTAAACATTTCATGTATTAGTTCTCCTAGGGGGTGTTCGTTTTTGATTTTTTGATTTTACAGTAAATCAATTCTCATTTTCAACCACACATTCTTCAATAAAATAATATTTTTCATTACATCAATACATTTTTCTTCTTTTTCAACCACACATTTTCCATCATATCACTATTCAAAAATCAATTTTTCCTCCAAAAATCCCTACCAAATAAGCTCCTAGTATGTTGAGATTCTTTGGTTATAAATATGTGGTGTATAACATATATTGTAATTGACCAATTGTTCAATTAGTTATTGGTTCAAAGAGATCTTTTGTAACTCCTTACTATTTATTATGGTAAATTCTACGCTTTTGCCCGTGGTTTTGCCAAATTTGGATTTCCACATAAATGATAAATCTTGTTTTCTTTTTATCCATTATTTCCATATTGCTCATATTATTTTCGTCTTTATTATTTAGCCCGATTCTTAACAAGTGCTATCAGAGGTTATCTTGTCTATTTCTTAGCAGGTGGTATGTTATGTTTGTGACTCAAATTCCATGTGGTTTGGAAGTTTGATTCATGGAGAAAATCTAGATAATTTTGGTTTGGAAATCTGAATTGATAAACGATCAAATTTTATTATGGATTGAGAGTTTAATAGGAGAAATGACTTTGGAATTGATGAAAAAGTGTTTTGGAAGCATTGGGTTCGAAACGGGGTACCGACAGCGAAAAGATCAACAGGGGTTGGGCGCCTAGGCACTAGCGCCGACTAGCGCGGAGCGCCCAGGGGCTAGTGCCTTGGCACCAGATAGTGGCGCCTATGCACCGCTTGTTCGGGAGAAGTTGGTTTTTATCGTGATTCTTATATTCTACTTCATTCAAAACATCAAAATTGAGCTCCTATATATACTCCACGTGGTGTAAGCTTTTCATTGACTCAACATAACATTTATATCATTGTTTTATATATTAAAAATTTGATAGAATTATTTTAGATTTAGATTGTGATTGGGAGCATCAAATGTTGTAAAAACAATTTTTGTTTCTTGATATAATAAATTCTCTTCTTCTTCCACAAAATCTTAGTTTTTATGTGATCCATTATTTTCATATTACTCATATTATTCTCCTCTTTAATTATTTGGTCGGATTCTCAACATGAAGCCTCTCAAATAGAGAGAAAATGCATACTAGGAAGAACTATACTTCATGAAATACCGCTTCCACCCCAAGAGAATGTAGCATCTCAATGTCTTCCTGTGCAATTATTGAAGAAGCACAAACTTGATATGAAGAAGTAGACGCTCCAAGGAGAAACCCATCTGGAAAATCAGATCTTTTAATTTCTGCATTTCCTTTTTCTTCAATAAGGGCTTTTGGCTATTGAAGTTGCAGAAAGTAGAAAATCCTGGTGTAATTCTCAACTTTTAATGGATGTTCAATCTCAGTCTTGCAGGGTCAACAATGAAAATGATGCCTTGTACAATGTCAGCTTATAATTTATTTTTAAGCACTAGCCAAACAACAAGATTCCTACAAAACATTACGAATTTTTCTTTAATTTCTGATGGTGACAAGTTCGGCTATATTGTTAATGTTATGATGTGATAAAAAAATATACAAGTTGATATCAATGGCAAAGATAATGAGGATTCGTACTGATTTTTTCATGAACAAAGACAAGGAGATAGAAAAACAGTAGTTCCAACAACAATCTTTTTCACCATCATTCAGATTGAGCCATTGATACATCTTTATTCATGAATGAAATAGCATTACTTGATTCAACATAATTGGGGCTACGATTGCTCAAGAAATTTCTAAACCAACTCGCGGAAAGCTTTGGAGTTCTATTCAATGTTTGACGATCAACGTGATAAATTCCAAATCTGACACTATATCCGTTGGACCATTCAAAATCATCCATCAATGTCCATAAGAAGTAACCGCGTACATCAGCACCGTTCCTGCTCCAGCAAAGAACACATCTCTTCAACAAATATACTGATCAAGATACGTATAAATCTATGATTCATTACTTAAATAACTTGTGTACAAATCTATGCATCAAGATTCATTACTTGAATGACTACGATCAAACTCATAATTCAATGATGGCGATGAAAGATTATTGGAAACTATTAGGTTCAAAACATTTCTTATGTCCACATGCAGAACATACTTCTTTCGGTTCCAGTGTGTACATGTGCGTGAGTAAAGATGGGAATTGCAAGTGATATGGATAAAATGAATAATCTGTATTACTAAGAGCAATTAATAACACGAATAATCCGTAAAGATATGTGCGACTTTTCCAAATTACCCTTAATAACTTGGAAAAAGTTTCGCCTCGGGGACTCCTGGACCCCATCAAATCTTACAGCAGATGAGGGGAAAAGTGTACAGAACATTATGTTTCACACAACCGACAGGCCGGGCCACCTGTTGATCTTGAAAAAATACATTTAAGCAGATCTTTAAGAAAACAACTTCGTTATCTTTAATAGATTTGTTGATGGCAATGAAATCCATCTGTATTGGAACATTTCTTTGGCATGACTTTCTCTCCTAAACAGCTGTTTCACCTAGGAAACTAAAAAACATACTACATCATATAATTGGACACTTTTTTATTTAATTTAAATTTTAGTCCCAAAATTGCACCTTATCCCCCCTAAATAAGTTACTCTTATTGTTTCCAAGCATCACTTATTGCAGCTTTTGCCAGTAGAAAAGTAAAATAAATGCTCAGGAGAATTCATTGCATTCTTCTCTTATTTAATTTGAATTCTCACATTTTCTTCTAAATCACACCGTGTATGATATGTTATTCCATCTTTTGCTTAAGGACTAAGGGCTTAGGGTATTTACTTCATAAGTTATGTTACATATTTCAATTTATTTTCTTTTCCATCCTTCAGACTGATTTTTCTTCGTTTCTGTAATTGAGAACAATACAACTTTTCTTTATGCAAGATATTCTTTCAATCACAAGAACAAATAACTTTCGTACAAGTAATTTGATTTTTCAGTTCTTTTAGCCCAAAAACTTATTGTACTTCTAAATTTTACCAAAAATAACTCATTCGGGCAGAATCGTGCATGCAAAATTAAGAGTGCATATCGATCGCAGATGTCAGAAGTAAACTTGAATTGCACACGTGTAAGTACTGAGAGCAATGATAGTTGTATTATGAGGAGTTACAATACCTTATAGCTTGAGCTAGAAATGCAAGATAAGATTTGAGATAATTAATCCGCTTCACATCATGATGGTAATCCTCAACTTGGTTTTGGGGAGAGGAATAACCTGAAATTGCAGTAAAATTTAGCTGTACTAAAATTGATTAGGATAAATATATTTTGCACATATGATTCACAGTGCACTAGCAAGAGATTTCTTAAACAAGAAAGGCCCAATTTACCATTTTCTGTCACAAACAATGGCTTGTTAAGGTATCTCTTCTTAGCATATTCAACAATCTCCTCCATGCCCCGTGGAACAACAAAAAATCGAGGCATTCCTGTCTGCAAGAAAATGAAAACTGTCTTATTTTACGAAAAAAGAAAACAAAAATATCTAGATTATTATGGCTCTGTTTGAGCCCATTTTTTGTGAGCATATATTTTGTAACGTTGATTTTTTTGAATAATGCATAGTTAAAAAGCGTGAAAAATTTTGGGTTTACGCCACAAAATTATTTTATTGGGAGAATTGTGGTTGACAATGGGGAAAATGGGTTTTTAGAGAATGGGGCTCAAACATGGACTGCAATTAGTAGAAAAAATGAATTACTGAAACAATAAACATGACAATCATACAGGTTCTCCAATTGGAACACCATCTTGCTCTGCAGCCGTGTACACAAATCCCCGGATTGCACGGTCACTACCTTTGGTACAGATAGAATCGTTGCAAATGCAACTGGAATAGATGCAATCCTTTGCATATAAGGTAGCATAATGGTTTATCCCAATAAAGTCGATGCTATCTCTTAAAATAATTCTTTCCTCTGAGGCAAACTTTGGCAATTCACTTCCATGATAACGACGCATTTCTGGAGGATAGTCTCCATATACAACTGGATCCAAAATCCTTTATAATGAGAAGTGAGAAATCTCATATTAGAAACATAGCGTGTAAAATTATTAGGAATAATTTTATTTTATTTTTTATTTTTAGTGTGATAAACCGTCAAATCACATAGATTAAGGTTATAGTATACTATTTAAAACCCAACATGATCAAGAACTAGTGGGGCAAGCCGTTCACTATTGGCATGCATGGTAAGCAGTATTAAATAAGAAAAAAAAATTAAAAAATGTTGTTTGCATTACTATCTAACAACGCGTATCAAACATGCCATACGAGTTATGCGAAACCAAGTTTATCTTTTCTTGCAACTTATCATACCAAGCTATATTAAAAGCCAAGGCCCTATCAGCAGCTTCCTTGTCCAGCTTATCCTCTGTTAATGGCTCGTACATAAATGAGTGTATAACAATGCCAATCACACCACTTTGTTCAGACTGCATCAATAGTAATTTTGGTATTTAAGCACAACATTCAGTTTAATATTCGAATTTTCAGAACACCAATGTTTTATCAACTCCCAACCCCTTTGATTATCAACACTTACCTTAAAACGCTCACGATATATTTTAACTGTTTTGGCATGCCCCAATAACATGTTGTGCACAGCAATCAAAGGCTCGACATCTGAATTGCCAGTTGAACAGTTACCGAAAGGAGGCGAACAATGAGCTGGTGGATAAGTTCCCCTTTCATATGCAAATTCTGAAACTAAGTTGGGTTCGTTGATCGTACACCAATACTTCACTCGATCACCGAAACTCTGAAAACATATTTCAGCGAAGTGGATAAAATCTTCCCTACAAAGCCAAAACACGCCTTTAAAACGATACTGCACAAAGTAATTTAGCAATTCAAAGAAAAGAATTAAAATTGTACATACTGCATCAGAGGGCTGAGCCATCCCCCATATCTGTCCTCGAGTTCTTGAGGATAGTCAAAGTGGTGAATTGTCACAAATGGCTCAATTCCTGGATTAAATCTTATTGTATGCAATGAAACAAATCTACTTGAAAAGGTGAAAGCATTGAATAAGAACATCATTTGGCATCTTACCTCTGCTCAGGAGATTATCTATAATCTTGTTATAGAACAGGATTCCTGCTTGGTTTACTCCACCAAATTTCCCTCCTTCATAATCACAAATATGTTTATCAACAATTACGATGCAACTCGAAGAAACAAAAAAAGAACAATGAAGCCTTTCAAATGTGTTATGTTTTAAGTTGTACCGGCTATTCTTTAGACAATACGACTATTATAAAAGAGTTTTATAAAAGAATTGTAAAAGTCAACGAGTCCTTTTGGGTGTTGTATGGATGAACTAGGAGTCTTTGGATTCGACTATGAAACATGGAGAAAGAGTCACCAGAATCATGCTAACATGTCGCCAAACTGATGCTCAAGCGTCTAAAATAGAATCAAGGTCGCTCGAGGGACACACTTGTAGCTCACCTAGCGTTCGAGCAACTATGTTGTACGTAAAACTCAAGTTTGCGATTTTCAAAAGTTCTATCTATCCTAAACTACCAAAATACCTCGTATTATAAATATCCAATGCCCATTACGTTTTTCTGTATGTTTGATCATTATAATACATCCTCATAACATCATTCTATGATCCAAGAACACGTCGAGACATTGAGATGAATTCTTTAATTCTTGAGATCAATCAACCATGAGTTTTGGCGAAAATATTAAAACTTCATATTGAAACACCTATTTTTTCAATAGCTTTCAGGTGTTGTTAAAGATTGAGGGATATTGGACCGGAAGCACTGGAAGAGTACAAGAACAAGGTGTTCTCAGTGATCACGAGAAATAGACAATTTCAAAAGATCAAGAACAAGTGTGAGTGAAACACGTTCTAGCGGTCTTGAAGATTACAAGAATTTGATCACGGAGTCTAGTGTGTTTTTTAGGTTGGATCATACTGTAAGTTCTTATTATCTACAGTGGAGTTTACGGACTTGGTCCTGGAGTTTTTATCAAATTAAGGATTTTCTCCGTCAACAAATCTTGTGTTATTATCCGCTTTATTTATTGCTGTGTCAATTCAACATAGGATATACTTGAGTTGATTGACTATCCAGAAACAATTAAAAATTGAATTGTTACTTTTAATTGGTAATTTTAATTCCGCATTATTACCCTATTCACCCCCTCTAAGAACCGGTAACTTTCAAAATGGAGAAAGAAAATGCATACTGGGAAGAACTCTACTCCATGAAATTGAAAAGCGATAAGCATCCACCCCAAGAGAATGTAGTATCTCAATGTCTTCCTGTGATCAATGTATGACACTACTTTATCCTTTTGCACTTTCTTTAAGGAAAAAAAGATAGGAAAATGACAGAATGTACAGTAATTACCATGTAACGGTGATAGTGATCTTCAGCTATATCAGCGCTATCTCCATTTGCTATGCTGCCTAACATAAGATATAATAAAAGTGCAAAAAATAATCACCTAAAACTAAAATTGGGAAGAGGGAATCAAGAAAAACAAACCACGCGGTTTTATCAGAATTTATACTACCTTTTATCTGACAAAAAACGTCCCAGTTACAGAGACTCCTCCCATCTTCCAAATTTGCTCCTTCAATCTGAAATTAGAAGATATTCGCACTAAATCAAAAGTTTCTGGGAAATTCTGGAAGATAGCTCAAAATGAGAAGAAAATTGACTTGATACGAAGAAGTAGCCGCTCCGAAGAGAAACCCCTCTGGAAAATCTGATCTTTTAATGTCTATTTCATCTTCAAAGGAGGCTTTCACTATAGAATTAGCAGTTGAACATAGTATTAGGAAGAAAATAATGATAGAGGAGGAGAATTTGCCTTTCCACATTTTTCTTGAATTATATTTCAACTTTCTGTCACCCAGACACTTGCCGAACCAGGATGGAGTTAGTTGGTAAGTGCCGTCTTTAATCATGGATAATTAGCTAAAAATATATATATTTATTGTTTGTACTTATTGCGAAAATAGTCACTATCATTTCAAACTTGACATTTACACCCTCATTTCAAACATTTATCACAAAGTTGGTCATTTTCATCATGTTCCGTTAAATCTCTCCTTGAAATACGGGTAATTAGTGCAAAAAAATCCCTTTCATTTACCTTTATTGTGCAAATCATCCATGTTGTTTCAGTTTTGATATTTTGGCACTCAAATCGACATTTCTTTGAGCAAAAGTTCATCACCGTCTACTTTCACAATTAAAATATTATAAAATGACTAATTTACACTACTTTTTAAATAAACAAATAGACAAAAAAATAATAATATAAAAAATATTGCATTTGGATTTCTCAATTAATCCACATATCCTTACGCTCATGAAAATAGTTAAATTTCTAGATGGTGACACAATGGAATGGTGGTGGTGGTGGTGGTAGAGGGGTCAATGGGCCGAGCTCGGCCCATACCCACACGAGCTCGGCTCGTGGCTCATTGCCAGCTCGTTGGTTTTTGGGTAAGCTCGACTAGTGTCCGAGCTCGCCCAAAACTAACCGCTCGGCTCGCCGACTCGTCATTTTGGCCTTTTTTTTAACACTACTATAACACTACTTTCCACATTTTTCTTGAATTATATTTTTCAACTTTCTGTCACCCAGACACTTGCCGAACCAGGATGGAGTTAGTTGGTAAGTGCCGTCTTTAATCATGGATAATTAGCTAAAAATATATATATTTATTGTTTGTACTTATTGCGAAAATAGTCAACATTTACACCTTCATTTCAAACGTTTATTACAAAGTTGGTCATTTTCATCATGTTCCGTTAAATCTCTCCTTGAAATACGGGTAATTAGTGCAAAAAAATCCCTTTCATTTACCTTTATTGTGCAAATCATCCATGTTGTTTCAATTTTGATATTTTGACACTCAAATCGACATTTCTTTGAGCAAAAGTTCATCACCGTCTACTTTCACAATTAAAATATTATAAAATGACTAATTTACACTACTTTTTAAATAAAAAAATAAACAAAAAAATATTGCATTTGGAGTTCTCAATTAATCCACATACCCTTACGCTCATGAAAATAGTTAAATTTCTGGATGGTGACACAATGGAGTGGTGGTGGTGGTGGTGGTGGTGGTGGTGGTAGAGGGGTCAATGGGCCGAGCTCGGCCCATACCCACACGAGCTCGGCTCGTGGCTCATTGCCAACCCGTTGGTTTTTGGGTAAGCTCGACTAGTGCCCGAGCTCGCCCAAAACGAACCGCTCGGCTCGTCGACTCTTCATTTTGACCTTTTTTTTAACACTACTATAACTAATTAACTAAATCTTAAATTTAAAAAAAAAAAAACATTTATAATTTTT